ATATTCAATTTTTCTCTGAAGCTAAATGGTGGCTGAATCATGGAACCAGCTCTCCAAATCTTAGGAAATTGGCAACAATAATTTTGGGCCTGACATGCAGCTCCTCAGACTGTGAGAGGAATTGGAGTGATTTCGAACAAGTAAGAATCATTTAGTGTCTAGTATTAAGTTTTCTACTACAACAACAGTACTACTAGTGTTATTTAGTTTTCTACTGCAGTACCAGTCCTACTAACATGGATATTTATTTTGGATTTATTGCGATTCCAATTGGCTGCACAGGTTCACTCAAAGAGAAGGAACAAATTGCTTCATGGCAGGATGAGTGACCTTATGTATGTAAAATTTAACTCCAGGCTGAAACATAAAAGAGAGAATAAGGCAAAGGACCCCATTGAGAAGCAAGTTGTAGATATTCTAGAAGATGATGACAATGAATTTATCTCTGGAGTTGCACTTGCAGCAGATGATGAACAAGAAAAACCAAAAGACCCCCAAGCTGAAGGTGGGAAAGAACAGGAACAAGAGGTTGCACCAGCAGAACCAGAACATGGTAAAAGGAAGAGAGTTGTCCGCCCTAGGTTAAAGAAGAGGGTAAAGAAGATCACTGATATTAATGATGGCAAACAATCTGTGCCTGAGATTGTAGCTGCTTCATCTTGTGATACAGAAAATGATGATGATCATGACGTCGGCGTGCACCGCCAATCTGCAAGTGATCCATCTTCTCAGTCCGACTCTGAGAAGTCCATCTCAGATTAGATTGCACTTGTGTCCTTGAAATTGCACTACAACAGTGACACTTTAATTAGTTATTTTCTACTTATTAGTTATCATTTGCTACTAATTTAGTATTTTGGACAGTTAAACTTTCATGAATCATGTTGTAATGTCATTTGGTATTTGGTAATGTTATCTAGAATTGTGGAACCTTAGAAACATATTTGTGTTCATCGAATTTCATATTTGCCATGTTTTTTTTTTATCAATTACCGGTGTTTTTCATGTTTTTTTTATAAAAACGCTATCTGGCATAGCGCCGCTATAGCTGCATAGCTTCTAGAAAAAAATTGCCGCTATTTTCAATAGCCCGCTATTTTAAACATTGTTGGCTAGCGAGGCGCGAGGCTGCGGATGAGCACAATTCAGGCTCGAGAGCAGCGTCCGGACGCGTCCTGCGGCCAGACGTCCGGGCGCTAGCCCTTCCGTTAATTTATACGATAGAAGTCCTAGGACACCGCGTTGAACACGTTGCTACTTTCAATTTATTTTTGGATTTGCTCATCCCAGTGTCACAAAGATCCCGATATGAAGGGTACGAGGAATGGGTACGTGAATAAAAAAATTTAAGTTCCCGGTTCGTGAGGGGTATATATCTTCGCAACGATTGGTTCGAAGAGTAGAACATGATCCCTAGATAATTGGGACGATATAGAACGTAGCTATGAAACGAGAATAGGATTCCGAGATATTTATTTACATAAATATTTACTACTATAATTTTATATTGCACGGAGAATATTAACGCTAATCGCTAATAGATTTGTTAAAAAAAATATGAATGCATTCTAGCGTTCGAGTTGTAGGTCCTTTTGCATCGATTGTCTCGTTAAGACATGGCTCATCGGACTCCATGCTCATTTAAATGTCGGACTTCAGTCTCATTTGTCTCCTGTCCCAACGACTCGACTCATTCATCTGACGGATAGAGGCATAGAGCTGTCGTAGAGGAGAAACCAGAGCACCGCCGCCTCTAGCACCAGGCCCCAACATTGCGCCGCTCCACCGCCAACGTCCGTCTCCAGCGCCGCTGGCACCAACGCCACGCCGCGCCGCGAAGCCACCCCAGCACCACGGCGTGCAGTAGAACCAGTGCCACGCAGCTGCCAAGCTTCAGAGGACTCTGCACCTAGTGCAACACCGTGAATCTCTACAGCTCGCAGTCTGCATCCTGTCGATGATCCGGTGTGCTTTGGAACGTCATCTAAACTCGCGTCCCCGTCATCAATCCGTCCATGTACCACAGCGGGAGACCTGTCCGCGGTGAATTCGATTTGGAAAAATCTTTGGTAGCTGAAATTGATCCGTTTTCGTCTCTAACTCATTGTCAAACCACCGTCCGCACGGCTAGCTAGGAGAGGCCAGATCAAACCAAAATCACGACGGAAACTTTATCTCTCTATTATTATCAGGCATAGATATAGAAGAAGTGCAAAAAGCATAATTAAAAGGTACAATAATAATAAGCAGTCAATTAAACATAAAGTTTGAAAAATCAAAATTAAGACTCATGACTTCTTATATAAAGTAAAGGAGAAAAAACATACAAATACAAATATATTAAACAATAACTAATAATACTTATTGTCTCTAAGCACGGATCGCTGGACTAGTCAGCACAATCGACATAGCCCTTGAGCATGAGGTCGATGAAGCGCTTTTCCCACGTTATCAGATGACCTGGTATGTCCATAGTGTAGTTGCAGAGGAAGTGCGTTAATGTATAAGGGCGCGAGTTGTCCATGGATGCCAAGACCAGCTGTTATTCATAAGTTCCAATTTTAAACTTGTAGATGCAACTCAGGCAAGGGAATGAGACAATGAGTTGGAAGTAAGCGCAGTTGGCCTCAACCGTCGGGAAGCAATCGGTGTCAACAACAAGGCACCTGACGCCGAGGAAGAGAGCAAGGCTACCGATGCTCTTTGACCCTCTCCATCACGTTCCCAGCAGCATCAATCTTGAAAACATCCATGCCGCGGCGGCGCTTCAAGGCCGCCAGTATGTCCCCTCCAGGGACCTCCACCGCATAACAACGGCGGCCGAAGATGTTCTTGGCACCAGGAACAGATTCACGGTTGACAGCGGCGGCAATCTGAGGCAGCCTGCTTGCAGGATAGTTGCCAAGCGTCTCCACACAGAAAGACCCGCTCTGGGGATCCGCCCAGTACACATCGTTTGACGCGACGGAAACCAACACGAGTGTGGGCGTTGTACCAACGACGTAGGCAGTGAATGCCGACCGCTCGGTTGGCAGTCGAGCCGCAAAACAGATCATGGAGCCGGTGAAGGGGTTGAGGACGCTCTCGGCGTCCGTGGAGTCAAAGGCCGCCAGAACGATGAGACCGTCGGCGGTGCTTGTGACGAATTTGTAGCAGAGGCCGCGGAGGATCGGCAGTCTCATACGGAGGAAGCGACCGGTGGCCGTGTTGACGAAGAGGAAGGGACCGTCGTCGAGGATCGTGAGGATGGAGGAGACGACCTTAGGTTCATCCAGCATGACCCACCGGGAGGGACGGAAGCGGGGGTCATGCTGGTTGCTCCGGGTCGACGGTGACGGAGCGCCAGTGGTGGCAGGCGGCGCGCAGGTCCGCATAGTAGGCGAGGTCGTTGGTGGCCAGGAAGCAGTCGGCGACGCGGTTCACGAGGTCCGCCGGAAGGGACGACCAGCCCTGCGCCATGGCCACGATCGGCCCTCGAGGTATCGGGGGTTTGTTTCTGGTGTTGCTGCTGTGCCGAGGCAGGCGAAGAGAGCCGGAGGGTGTGGTGGTGTTAAATAGTAGAGCCAGCACCAGCAGCCAAGTGATGTGAAAGCTCGAACGGCAGAAGAAGAAAGGGTTGCATGTCGCAAGTCGCGATCCAACTGCACCTGCATGCATGCATTGCCATTTACTGCTCGCTGCCGTTACGCTCATCGGTTACGACGCCGGCGCCGCCTAGGCTCCATTCGCGTGTGAGGGTTGAAGGTGCGTTTGAACACGGGGACTAAAGTTTGAGAGCGTCACGACGGGTGCTATAGAAAGATGTCACATCGACTATTTAGATAGTAATAATAAAATAAATTATAGAAGTCTTTAGTAATTCACGAGACGAATTTATTAAGCCTAATTAATTCATCATTAGCCCATGTTTACTGTAACACCATATTATCAAATCATGAACTAATTAAACTTAAAAATTTATAATTAGTGTATATTCAGTACTCCGTGCATATGTCAAACAACATTCCTGCACCAGTGGAGGTGGACCGTGTGGGAGCTAGCTGGTCATTCCAACTTCCTCCACGGCTCCAACGTTATTACTGCTCGCTCAACAACTCTCAAGCCAAGCCTCTAAACTTCAGACTCAAATTCAGCCCAAACCATTCCTCAACAAATCGGGCTTCTAACTTTCTAAGGAGATGATGATAATGGGCTTTGTAGCACAAATACGGCCCATAAGATAAGAAAGCCGGACCTGTTGCCCTCGTTTGTGAAAGTGAATATTGATAACACTTCACCATCGGCCCAGCGTACCATTGAACAATGATGAGGCTTCATCACCACTGGTACGGCGTGCATTTTGACGATGATAATACATTTTTATCAATTCTATATATGTAGCGTAATATTAATAGTATTATTAATGTGATTACATCAAGCCCACAAGCTCAACGATGCATATACATTAAGTTCGAGCCATGACATACATCAAATCCGGCCACAAGTTAAACAATCCAGAAGAGAAGAGAGAGATTAGGTTAATGGTTTAGGTAAACTATAATTAGTTCAGATTGAATTCCAAAGGTAGCTTAAATTCAACCTCATATTATTTATGGAAAAAATTGATTATAATTTTTAAAAAAACTTAACTCGATTATGTTGTGTGCGAAGTAATATTTTAATTGAACTTCTAACCTATGATTTTGAAATAGGAAAAAGAGAGGATGTTTTGAAAAAAAAACATTTCTCTAACACTACTGTAGAATTGATTTTCAACAACAGGTCTATTTTCAGCAGCCTCTACAGTGGCGTCCTAATCGAGCCATCTCTAAAAATACATTTGTAGAGTCGCTTCTATTTCAAATCGCTTTCTGAGTAGCGTCTAAATCGAGCCGCCTCTAAAAATACATTTGTAGAGACAGTTATATTTCCAGCCGCCTCTAAAATTCATTTGTAGAGCCAAACACGAGCTGAAGTCGCCGGAAATTGACTTTGGAGATTACCCAGCGGCAGATAAACTGATGGATTCGATATGCAGTGATGCTCGATGTCTTCAGAAGCTCATATGCTGTCCTTCTCTTAGTAGACTTCCACAAAGGGTGTCATCTCTTGTTAGTCTTGCCCACCTTAGCATTGGTGTCACTAAAATTAAACAGGAAGAGCTCTGCATACTCGGAGGCATGCCCTCACTGCTTTACGTCAGTCTGATTTCAAGTGAAGCCCCCGGTGACAGGCTCACCATCGGCAGGCAACTATTCTGTTGCCTGAAGGAGTTTGTTTTCCGGACCAAAGGGATTGGCGGGCTGAGGATGGTTTGTGAAAGGGAAGCAATGCCAATGCTCAAAAGTTTTAACCTTGAGTTTAACGCGGAAGAATCAGAGTCTGATATGGGTTTTGAGTTCTCCTTTGAGCACCTTGCAAGCCTGGAGCAACTCAGTATTGACATTTATTGTTATGGTGCTACTAGAAGTAGGGTAGAGGCTGCAGAGGCTGCCATCAAGAACACAGCCAACATCCATCCTGGACGTCCCACACTCCAAATCAAGAGATGGTCCGAAGACCTAATGGTCGAGGACAAGGATGAGAAGGAAACATGGCTGAAAGATTATACAGCAAGAGTGTAACGAGGTTCAGCAAGTGCATGCCTAGCTCTTTCTGTCATCGGAGTTAAGAAACTGCAAGGCTGTGAGGTACCAGATCAGTTCAGCATACGAGTTTGCTTATGCTAGCATCAAAGTCAATAATATTTCCCTAAATTTGGGTGACGATGACCTCGAAGATCTTTATATCTTTATGTCCCCAAATGTCCGAGGTGAAGAACATGAGAGAAATCCTCATAATGTTGCACCTATTTTTTAATAATGGAAAAGTTCCAGCTTCAGACAAGAGACCTCTTCATAATGTTGCACCTAAAGCTGAAGATCATACTAATTATTGAGTACCATGTGTGGTGACAATTTGTATATGGGAGGGTCTAGCACCCATACGTCCGGACAAAAGCGTGCGTCCGGACGCTCGCGCCGCGCTCGCCGCTCACGAGAATATTATCGTTGACCAGCACGCTTTTTGCGTGCTCGCCCGTGCCTGCCGCGCCCGCATAACAGGAGGACCATTACCCCATCGGACCAGGAGCGCGCCCCACGCGCCCTCCTCACCCCGCCTGCGAATGCGCAATGGGAGGCGTCTGCGCGGCCCAGCGCCAAGATCAGTGACTCCACGGACAGCGCGCCCAAAGAACGTTGTGTCCGCCAAATTAACGGGGCCATTGCTACATGTGCTCCCCCAGATCTGCTTTTGAAACATCCAGTAGAAAACACTTGCAACATGCGACTGAAAACAGATGAAACACTTGAAACATACGTTTGAAACATGCGTGTATAGTCATAGCAACATATGCAACATCCAGATCTAGTTTTGCAACATACGTATGAAACACCTGAAACACTTGGAACATGTGTTTGAAACATGCATGTTATGCAACATCCAGATATACTTCTGCAACATCATGATGAAACACTTGAAACATACTTTCGAAACAACAGAAACACTTGAAAACATATGCTTGCAACGTGTGTATATTGTCATTGCAACATATGCAACATCCCCAGATCGACTTTTACAAAGATTCGATTAAACGCTTCAAACATAAGTCTCAAAACATCTAAAACACTTGAAACACGACGTCATTTGGTGGCCATGGCCTCACCCGGTGGGGAAACTGCGGTGGGGATGGGATATGACCTCGCCGGGCTTGGCCGCCGCACGGCGCGCGGTGGCAGGCGCGAGCTGATTTTGTCGAGCTTCACCGCCTCCCGCGACGCCGCTTGCTCATCCACCACAAGGCCGACCCGTTGTTCGCCGCCGACGCCCTCTCCGCCATGCTCGTCAAGCAAGGCTCTCTCGGCGCGGCGATCCGCGACGGGCTACGCTTACGCCACCCAAGATGGATCGGAAGCGCAAGATGAAGATACCGGTGGCTACCACGCACACGTGCCACGAAGCTTGACGCGCCGCCGAAGTTTAGAGTAGCCGGCCGATGCTAGCGCGGCGCCGCCGTGAGCAACTGGGTCGAAATGCGTTTCATCCTGCATAGGCGGCCGCCTCGCGTGTCCATCACGTGGATGAGAAGGAGCCACATCGCTAATTAAAGAACGTAAAGGGACGAGCCACCGGGTCGGGCCGGGTCGGTCCATTTAGGAGCGTCTGGGCGCGGCGCGGACCGGCCCACCGGCCGAGGAGTATTAGCGTTGTATATATTTACCTTGTATAATATATTATTCTGATGTTTCTTTGGGATGACGTGGGTAATGTGGGCGCTCGGGTTCAAGAGTCAAGAATGATGGAGGGGCATGTAGATGTAGTCGGGTATGTGACACGGAAGATGTCGTTGGGCTGGACTGATTTGGGCTGCGGTAAAGGGAAGCCGAGAGGGAGATTGGGCTGCGCCAAGGAAGATCTCGAGCCAGATTGGACATTGGATCCCATATTGATGTTTAGATTTGAGGGCCCCTATGGAACATAGAAAATTTTCCTATTTCATGCGTTTTTCTTGTGAAAATCCCTGTGCAAGTCATGTGAAATTTTCATGCTCCAAAGGAGCTAAATGTGTTTTGATTTTTTTTTTAATTCGTGAGATTTCCTGTTTCCATTTCCATGTTGTTACAGTAGCCAACGAGCCATGGGGTTAACAGATTGCCGAAGGTAGTTCTTGCTGCCTTGGGTTTGATCTTACATTTTGGTTGCCTGAACTAGGCATCGTATGCATTTGCTGCTGCTGCTACAAAGATCGTAATGGACCTGAAGAATATGTTCAATATGCCTCTAAATGTGAGCAAGTATATTATATATTCAGCTTTCGTTGCTTTTTGCTGACACTAGGCAGCTGTAGATTTTAGGGCAAGCACTCCTAGCAAAAGAACCAAACATAACATATTTGTTGTACCTAACTTCGATATCGTCCTCAAATAGTAGACAACAATTTTGCCAACACCATACATGTCAGCAACAAAACGGCTGAAACAGTCACAACTCGCAAGGGTAGATACAAGCAGGTAAGGACGTGGTCAACCAAAGTGATAGATAACCTATTGATTTCTTTATAATCAAAATCCATTGATTGCAATTGTATTCAATCCACCTACAAGTCAAAATTTTGCTCTACAAAACGGTGGATTCACAACAGAGTCGAGTATGACCGTAATTTCACAAGTTTTGCAAAGATCTTCAAGATGAAAGCATTAGTAGGTAAAAGCTGGGGTCGACAATGCAAAATTCAGAGCCATCCCCATGAGCCATGAATCCCAGTCGATGACAGGGTGGTGGCAAGTGAAACATCTCATGCTGTCGATCTCTTACGCTTCTTGAAACTAGGAGAGTGCCCAGGTGCTCGAGCCTCACTATTTTGCATCTTGCTGGAGGCACCGCCCCTAGTTCTTTTTTGGTTGCTGCCAGGCGATTTATCGCCTCTGTTTCCTTGGCTATTTCCTGGTTGCCATTTTGACTTCGGCTTGAAATTAGTCCTATCACCTTTGCCACCTGAATCTCTGCTTTGATGCCTTTTGCAGCATGAGGGTTGCCTCTCCCTGTCCTTTTCTTCAAATGAAAATCCTTGCCCTGCTTCTTCCCAGCTGACCAACTATTTGGTGGACGACTAGGTGTTCCTTCTTGTCCAGTTTCAGCATTAGAGTCAACCCGTTTCCTCCTGTACAACAATAAACCATTAAGCAACTTGTTAACACCGGAAAAAATGACTCCGGGCTAACCTTTTGCCATCACGTTGCTCGTGTTCTTTTGCCTCGAGATGTGCACCATCAGTTTGGTTACGATTTCGCTGCGTACCCTGAAAATTGCAAGTACACGCTATTTTGAGATGATACATACGGAGTAGAACATAAGGTACAAACGATGTATCTGTATTCGTGTTAACTGGATGAATATAGTACATACTAAAAAAAAATCAGTACAGGATGTTTCTACCACCTGAGTATACAAAAATAGTATTTAATGATCTGCTTCATATCATATGCTTTAACCAGGCATGCTGTTTACAAATACATATACAGGGCTACCAAAATATATGTCACAGGTACACAAGCAATCAATTTTGCTCTTAGTCATTACCAATATAAAGTTCATAAAAGAACTCACTAAAAACATGCCCCATTGATCAAACAAATAATATATTGTTTCCATGGCTAAGTGGCAAGTTAGTATAATGTGAATCTTACCTCTTCAACACTTCTAACAAAGCCCTTGAACTTGTCAGGTGTAATTAAGTTGATAGCATCAAACCCACATTTCCTAATCAATATTTCTAATATTAGTACAACCTGCAAATATAAGATTACAACATGTCATTCGTACCCTGTACAGAAAACAATAAAATATGGGAATTAAACCTTGGAATATTTCTACCAACCTTCCCTTTGAAATGGTGCTTCAGAACCAATGACCATGGTAATATCCCACTTACGATATCTGCTTGCAAGTTCAATAGTTTTTGTGGTTGCAAAGAAGTTACCAATACCTTGACAAAGCCCAAGGCTGCCTAAAATCGAGCATACCAGACCCTTAACAATAGGAATTAGGAAAAGAACTGAAAAGATGGACATAGGGAATCACAGAACTGACTTTAGTTACTTCAATGGCTTTATGTTGCAGCAAAACTAACACTGACTCTATCAGATTCGGTACTTCCATGCAAAAATTAGCGTCACTGTATATAAGCAATGATAGTGCAGCAATTGCTCCACTCACTATGTGAGGAGATGGACTTGAAAGATATCCCATTACCTGAATAAAAAGAAGATAGTCAATAAGCTTCAGTAATAAAACTTGTAAATGCAACTTACGACTTAACATATAGAATTACACTGATTATTTATGCCGTTCACACAAAATAATCCATGTGATTTATAGATGTTACAAGTTTGCAAATAGTTGTGAATTGGAAAAAGAAAAGGCTATGCATTTGATTAGCTACTGTTACAGCTCCATTGCGATCTTCATGCGGTTTAGCTTGCTCATCACATAATTTACGAGGTGTAAGCACCATGGATACTACTTATTCAAAAGCCTCCATAGTTCTATATTTTTTTCCATGAGAATTGTGTAGCAAAGTATAACCTGCTATCCTTTAGAAGATGCCTCCCTGTGCTACTAATAGAACAATCAGAGTGTTTTGTGATATTATTAGTGGTTTAAATCTTTTTTTAGAATCAGTGGTTTAAATCTTAGTGATGGTGATTGTATATCTTCAAAGTAGACTAAAATGGAGTATTCTAAAACTTTTACCCAAGTTATACACAAAATATATTAACATCTACAATACCAAAACAATACCAAATAAGTGCACTATCAAGAAATATTTCAGTGGATTTGATGAAATCATTTTATGTAGTAGATATTGGTGCACTTTTCTATAAACTTAGTCAAAATTGTAGAAGTTTGACTTAGAAAAAAACTAAAACAACCTACGTTGTGGAATGGAGGAGTAATATGTTTGGATTTGAGGGGATGTATCCAAATGAAGCCTAAAGATACAGCTGGACGTGTCACCAATATAACTGCAGAGGAATGCCAAGAAAAATGTTCGCAGAAATAACTAGCAGCAGGAAACAAAAGGTAACTGTCCGACAAGACACTATTAATAAATTTCAAAACCAAATAAAACAAAGGGAAATATGTTAAGAATAGAGTATTTTATGTAGCTAACCATTGTGAACAGTCGTTGAAGATCTGACTCTGCACTATTTGACTCTGAGCTCCTCAAGTTTGTACTAGTTGCCAGGAGCACATCATATGCTAGTTTTCTACTTTCCTTCTTAGACTGCACCAGAAAAAAAGAAAGGAATTTTGAATAAATAGAGCACATTGGCATCAGAGAAAGAGAGTTTCTCATGTTACAACCTTTTTCCATACACCATTACTGTTCAGATTTCCATACAGGAATGATGTACTTTTGGCAGGATATTATCTAATACACATTTAATAATTGTTTAGCATGTGAAGGTAAGAAAGGAAAACCTTTAGTGCAACTATTAGCTCATTTAGAATCAAGAATGCCTTCTTGCTGGTGTTCTCTTCATTAACCTTGAAATAGTAAAATGTATGTCAGAGAAATACAAGACAAACCCAAACTATATAAAACAAAACTAGCTAAGGCAATTCATGAACACAAGCGCAAGATAAGAAATGCAGTCATATTTCAATAAGAGTAAAGTTTATCTGGCGGTCCTTAAACTTGTGTGGAGTGTGTCGCCCGGTCCCTAAACTCTCAAAACGCCTCGCTTGGGTCCCTAATTTCTTGTCAGGTCTCAATCCCATCCAAACTGGTCTATTCCTCTCTGCCCACGCTTCCCGAGCTCCTCCGCCATCTCTCTTCCCAAACAGAGCAGCGGCAAGACGTTGGCATGTGGGCTGCGGCAGCGCCTGGCGAGCAGCGCTCTGCATGCGGGGGAGGGTTGTGGCAAGCAGCACGCGAGGGTGGCGGCGACGGGCCGCAGCGTTCTCTCGGCTCGATACCCGCCATGCGCACGACAGAGGGAGAAGCCGAGCCTGAGCGCGTGGCCTAATCGAGGATGAAGATGATTTGTGCTGCCCCGACCATCTTGAGGATGGCGTGTGAAGGAGAGAAGCACGATGGTGCTGTCGGCGAGCAAGCAGCTGCTTGTCAGCCGAACTGTTGAAGCCGCTAACTGAACTCAAGTTCAGTTACGGCCTCTCTGTTTTTAGAAAGGCATTACGACCTTCTCTGTTATTCAGCGATTTACTCCCAATTTTGTATGTAATCAACCTGATCGGCCTTAATAAAACTTATTCAATGGGCTATGATCTACAACATTGTTTTAAGAACTAAGGTCTAATTTTTACTGGTTTGGAAGATCTAAAGCCTCAAAGTTTGACAAAAATTCTGCATACCAAGCATCAGTTTCAGAGTTGCAATTCAGTTTAGGAGGACAAACTGGAACGCGGCATCCACGAGCGGCAGGAACACGAGGCCGAGGTCTGCAGGACCGGGCGGCGGCGCGGCGCCAGGAGAGAGAGGATGGAGATGCGCCCCAGCAGCGGCACAGGCGACCTCTTCCAGCAGGGACGAATCACGCGTGAACTGGGCCTGCTGCTTCCCGATGAACGGCTCAACCAACCACCAGGACGCCCGCGTCGTCCATCCCCAGCTTCCCAGCAACGCCGTCCCTCGTCTGACGCCCCTGCTGCTGCGCAGCCGCTGGTCTTCTCCAACATGCCCGCTGCTGGGGCTGGGCCGCGCACCACCGTCTTCACGTGCACGGTGCACCCACGTAACACCTCTGGGCTCTGGCGGCTCCTCCTACCCGGTGGTCGGTGGTGGCAGCAGCGCTAGGGCCCAGGAACGGTACTGCAGGGCTTCAACGCCGCCGGAATTAGGCGAAGCTGGATGGGTTTGCGGAGGAGGTGTATGCCGCTACGTCGAGTCGGAAGAACACGCGAGGCTGATCACGATGACGTTGGCATCGGGCGGCTTGGGGTAGGCATCGCGCCGGCGCAGTGACAAGTCTGAGAGGAGGACGTGGGTACCAGGTCAAAGACCGCTTGGATGGGTAAAGACCCAAATCAAGTTTAGGGACCTATATGACCGTTTTGTAAGTTTAGTGACCGGATGACATACTCACACAAGTTTAAGGACCGCTGGTGCACTTAACTCTTTCAATAAACATTGTTCATCGCCGTGACTCAAGAGCAGTGGCACACCTAATTTCAAAACGACATCGTGATGTCTTAGTGAAGTAAATCTGATCAGATAAACACATAAAGATGAAGAATGAAGTTGTTATTGAGTTGCATATCTATTATAGGCACAACACACATGCACACACACTTTGCAAAAAGTACAAGTCATTTGTTCATGTGCATGTTAAGTTCGATTGAACACCTTAAAATCTTATTGAAATTTACATTGTTGCATATCATAAGAATGAAATTTTGTGGTGTTAGCATCTGGTTGAGGTTCTGACAACCAACAGATTTTGTACAAAAGAGTGCAGCTCAGAAAACTGCTAGAGTTCAGTTTTTCATCATGGGCTAACCCTAGAAGGGTAGCAATGTATATTGGTCATACATGGGCCTCATGGGCCTAATACACTCATACTCCAACACTTCTCAGCCCGAACTACTCATGCAGCTGAGTTACGTGATGGACATGAAAAGAAGCACACGATCCCCCCACAGACGCAACTAGCCAGCAATGATGTTGAGGCTGGAGCGAAACTCGGTGAAGGTCGATGGACGGAGGCCCTTGGTGAAGATGTCGCAACCGGGAGGTGGTCGGGACGTGGAGGACCCGAACATCGCCGATGGCAACCCGATCACGGACAAAGTGTAGGTCGATCTCCACATGCTTGGTCCGTTAGTCTTTGCCGCATGAGGTTGGTGGAGAGGTACACTGCTACTGACGTTGTCGCAAGAGAGACCGGCGTAACTCGGAGAGAGGGTCGTGGAGCTTCGGCAATGAAATTTGTCGAGCAGGAGGCCTCGGCCCACGCCGTTAAGAATGGCTTTCTAACCATTCTCGGCAAGATTGGATCGGGAGACCACCGGTGGCGCTTGGACCACCAGGACACCCAGTTGCCTTGAGAAAGACAACAGAGCCGGAGGTAGACTGGGCCGAGTGTCCGGGACACCGGCCCCATTCCCCGGCGTCATGTAGACAGCGAGCTCGGTGGAGGAAGACCATCAAGAGTAAGCCGAATCGACAAATTGCAGCGGAGGTAACGGAGGAGGCGCTGAGCGCAGTGAGGTGAGGCTCTCGAGGATCATGCATGTGAAGGCATATCTATGCATCTGCATAGGTGATGTCGGCCGGTGAAGGTGAGGCATGAAGGGCACCTGCAAGACTCCGATAGTGATGAGGTCTGCTTGGCGGGCGTTCCCACGGCCTCGGACGGCTGCCCTGTGTGTCAATCGGAGTAGAGCAGGCTTGCGATTAATCATCCCAAAGACGCTCCGTGATATCAAGAGTGTCATGGCTGGTGTGAAGGAGAAGGGTGGGCAGGCTCAACAATGACCCGAGGAAGTGGTGGAGCACACCAAGATCCTTCATAGCAAACTCCTCAACAAGAGGCGATGACACGGTGAAGTAAGGACGAAATGGAGGTCAGGAGGACAATATCATCAACGAGAGCAGCGAGATAGGCAGTCTCAGCTCCATGGTGATAGATAAACAGGACGATATCGACTTGGCCTCCACAAACCCCGATGTCGTAGGAAAAAAGACAATCAAGAATACCACGCCGGGGCCTCGCTGACCCGTAGAGAGACTTGTTGAGCCGTGAGACCATGTCGGACGAGAAGAGTCAACAAACCCACTGGTTGGGTGCGCAGAACCGTCTCGGTGAGAGTCCCGTGGAGAAAGGCATTTTTGACGCCCGGTGATGCACGGCCAAGAGCGATCGAGAGCCGTGGAGAGCACTTTGGCGACGGTGGTCGGCTTCACCTGCGGGTGAAAGTCTCATCGAATCGACTCGTGTCGCCGAAAGTGAAACCCCGGAGAACCCAAATGAGCCTTGTACCTCTCAAAGGGAACCATCACCACCGCTTGTGTGTCGAGATCCACTTCCCGGCGACGACGTTGGATCCGGTGGACGGGCACCAGATCCCATGTCTGGTTGGCGAGGAGAGCCGCGTACTTCTCTTCCATCGCGGCGCCAATGAGGGTCCGACAAAGGCGTCGCTAAGCGGAAGAGGGTCGCAGGAGAGATCTGGCGGGTCGTCGGGCATCGTCGCGAGAGCCCGGGGCCGCAGGTACCGGCCGCGCGTCGCGTCACCATAGGGTGAACATGCCGCTGGGTGTGTCGGTGAAGGAGTTCGCAGGTGGCACCGGCGACACGACACGGGCAACTGGCGGCGGCATGGTGATGTAGGGTCGCGGAGCGAGAAGGCCACCGGTGGTGTAGGCGTCACTGATGGAGAAGGGACCCGGTGATGCCGGAGGCGGTGCCGCCAAGACACGGCCGCCAGAGACGATGCACGTACCGGGCGAACGCCGCAGGAGGAGTGCGACAGCGGCGATCCGGACCCGGGCGCGACGTAGAAGGGAGGAGCAGCTCCGAGGGCGACGCCCGGACCCGGGCAGGCGCAGGCCAAGGGCAGTGGGTGGGTGGCGAGGGTGCACGGGCGGCGAGGGGGCACGGGAAGCGACACTGCAGGAGACAATGGGAAAATGGACCACCGTGTCGCTGGGAAACAGAGAGAAGGGTCCGGATCGGGGTGGGAGATGGTGTGTTGGTGGTGGAGAGAGAAGACAGACTCATCAAACACCACATGGCGAGAGATGATGACCCGACGGGAGGTGAGGTCAGCACCCGGTACCCTTAGATCCGGGGGGTACCTAAGGAAGACACAGCGGAGCGGAACGGGGAGCCTTGTGGGGGGATGGCGGTGGTGTTAGGGTAACACGCACACCCCAAGACACGAAGGTGGTCATACCGAGGAGAGGTACTGAAGAGCGTGGTGTGGTGTGGGGCCAAGTAAGCGCGACGTGGAAGGAAAGGCGTTAAGGAGATAGGTGGAGGTGGGAGACTCTGCCTTGCGAAAGCAGAATGGCAGCGCTGGAGCGTAAGGGTGCGCATGGTGTCGTTCGTGCGGAAAGCGAATCATGCGCCGCCTTGCTGCTCTCGGGAGGAGGTATACGGGCAAGACATGCGGTGGACACCGTGGAGAGAGGAAGAAGAGGCACGGAGGTGCCGATTATCGAACTCACGGCCATTGTCATAATCGGACGGCCTTGATGGTGAGGCCGAACCGAGTAGACACCTGCGCGAAAAAAGTGGAGAAGAGTGGTGAAGGTATCCGACCCTTTGCACGCAAAGGGAAAGTCCACGAATAATGCGAGAAATCGTCAACCACCACAAGATAGTATTTATACCTGTAAATCGGCGATGACGGAGATGTCCATAGGTCGCAGTGGTTAAGATCAAACACATGCGTAGCATGTGAAAGAAGAACAAAAGGGAGGCGAACATGACGGCCCGGTATGCATGCGCATGACACAAGTGCTCATCGTGAGCCCGAGTACAACCTAATGTCGGGCTCGCGACTAAGTCACGTGAGCATCACGCCCGGGATGGCCAAGGCGACGGTGCAAGTGGTGGAAGGAGTGGCGAAAGGCGGTGACCGAAAAGTAGACGGCGCATTTAAGAGGAAGCGAGGCATTGGAAACCGAGAAGGGTGTAAAAGGGGGTCCCGTGCCGTCACACATCGGAGAAGAGGACGCCGGAAGCCAAATCTTTTCTGAAGAAGACGGGAAGAGTCAAATTCAACAGAACAAGAATTGTCAAGTTGGTGAAACGATTTAATAGAAAGAAGGTTGTGAACCATAGAGGGTGCAACAAGAATGTCGAAGATTTAAAGGAACCATGAGTGCCGGCCGGCACCACTATCGAAGATCCGGAATACACGAACCATTCATGACCATGATGGGCCGAAGGATGAGAGGAAGAAGGAGGTGAATAGAAGAGAGTATACCCGTGGTCCTGGGTAGTGTGGTAAGTGGCGCTCAATCGGCAATCCAGGCAATGGGTAAAGAAGAAAGTGTGTCAGAGCCATGGTGTCAAGGATCGCAGCCAAGGCCACCGGGTTCAACCCAGTGCCGGGCAAGGTGTCTGGAGGTGGCACCCACGAAGATGCGCCGGAGGGAGGGAGCCCACGCAGACGGGAGTGAAACTCGAGGAGCTCCAGTGGAGCAAGGCCGCAGGGCGAGGCTCTCCGCTACTGAGCCTGGGAAAGGCCACATGGAGATGCGCCTCACCACGGGTTGTGGAAGGAGGGCCAGCAGTGCACCCCTGCGGAGTCACGGGCGATCAGTGTGTGTAAAGCGACACTGCACTGTGTGGTGGCTTCATGCCCCCACGTCTCCTCCACAAGGCGGCGCCACGCCCCACCCCGCGCCTGCCTGGGGAGAGAACCAAGAAGCGACGACGGCGGTGGAGTGAGGGAACGCATGAGGAGAAGCGCTGTAAGGCAAATCCGGAAGACGAGGACCTCAGGCCGGCCGACGCCGAGTGAGCTCCTCCATGACAAGGTCGCCACGACCACGCAGGAAGGAGGAAAGGGCCCTCCGCCGGTGATCCACGTCCCGGAGAAGTGCGGCATGAGCGGCCATCGCGAGCTCGCTACGGAGGACATTGAGGGACCGTCAACGATCCTCCACGGGCCAGCCAAGGTCGCTGAGGAGTCCGCCATGCTCTTCATGCGCGCCGCGAAGTCGCCAACGGAGAGGTCACCCGACGAAGGTCGCGGAAGCTCGTGACGAGACGCAGCGAGGGCCGGCTTCAGATTGCCCAGTAAATCGCCTCGAGCGCAAGCTGAGCCCGGCGAAGCGCCGAAGCAGAAAGGCGGACGGAGGTCGGAGGTCTGTGAGAGATCGCCCGATGATTCAGTGAGAGGACGACGCTGGCCCAGCGCAGCCACGATGGCGAGGTCTGGACCGCGACTGAGGCGCCGACTTAGGACGTGGTCGCGAGGGGCGAAGCGGCGGAGGGTGAGGAGAACCAGTCCCTTCCGGCCCAGGCGTGAAGAGGGGCGACTCCGGTTCGAACGACCGGGACGAGAAGTCGGATGTTCTCGACACCCCGGCCCGTAGTGAGCCGAAGCGACGCGTGGGTCGGCCGGGTCGTGCTGAGATGACCGTGGTGTGAGACGCCACGGTGACGCCGAGCCTCGAGGAGGTGGGCCGTGGTGTCGAGGGATGTAGGGAGGACGAAGTTCCGCCTCGCCGATCAAGGGTGAGGATCAACAAGCACAAGGCCAGCGTCCCAAAGCGCTCCAGGGCGGCAGACCCGACCGGCTCATGCCGAACACAAGAAGCACGGCGTGCTGCGTCGACCCACGAGAGCAAGCGGCATGAGATGGAGTTGGCCCCATTGCCGTGCGGAGAGGGGCAGGGCGCAGAGGAGAAGGAGGGGAAGAAGAGGCTCGTGTTCTCCTCACGCCGCCCCCAAGTAGGGGCATGGTTGTCACCACCGCACCTACCGCAGCCAGAAATGCGGCCAATGGCGCCATTTGCCTTGCTCACACCAGCGCCAGGGCAGGGTCAGGCTTCACGCCCAAGATCATAGCACGGGGCTCAGCATGTACAGACCTGCATTCGCGCACCCACGCCTGCCTGCCACCCAAGACCATACCATGGCCAAGAATGACATATGGCGAAGGCTTGGCTATCTGTCCAGGCCACAAGGGAGGAGGCGCCAAGGCTACTGGCCACTGACGGAGTGGAAGGAGAGGAAAGCCCTGAAGTAGGTTGGGGAGGAGGAGGAGGAGGCGGCCATGGCCCATGGCGCAGAAGGAGATTTGGCCAAGGCGGCTCAAGGGCCCCAAAGGGGAAGGAGGAAGAAAGCCTAGTCTGATACCATGCTAGAGATTCAGTTTTCATCATGGGCTAACCCTAGAAGGGTAGCAATGTATATTCATCATACATGGGCCTCATGGGCCTAATACACTCATACTCCAACAAAACAAACTTGTGTTTTTGTCTAGGTTTGAATTGAAATGTTTTATTGTTTACTTGTCAAGTACAAGTTTACTAGATAAATTTGAAACAAAAGCAACTTGAGTAATCGTGAAAAGACCCCGCTTTTATTTATTTTATATTTCCGTAGACATCAATGAGATGTAACAATATAAGCATAGTCTACAGGTGCATATATACGAATAAGCAAGGAAAATAGACTCTGGCTTTGCATGATGGTCCAGTAGAAACCCCATAATGGTTTCAAACAAAGCACCAGTGAAACACAGGCCCTCTCAAAGCAAAAGCTCTAGATACTAATCACATTATGATCAATTGGGGAAAAATACCAACTGTCAACCTACCTTAATCATGTGGAACCAACAAATGCTGGTAGCATAATAGAAGTTGGCTTTCTAAAATCTGTGTTATCCAAAGCTGACTTCATTCCATGAAGCAACAGCATCATTTCATCCAAATGAGCCAAAGAATATTCACTATGTTCCTGAAAGTAAGAAAAGATGAGACATTAAGGTCATCTCAAACAAGAAGAGGAAGAAAAACATCAAGGTGTCATGCGACTGACAGGAAAACTACCACTAACCTTTCTGCTAATTATGCTTAATGCAAAGAGAGCTTTGCTGTGACAAGACATGCTGCTGTCTGCAGAAGGAATAGATAAAGTTTATGAAAAAGTAAGAATGTTTATTAAGAGTTGGGGGTCTTGGGGTAGCAGGAG